TGTGTGTGTGTGTGTGTGTGTGTGTGTGTGTGTGTGTGTGTGTGTGTTCGTGTTCGTGTGTTCGTGTGTTCGTGTGTGTGTGTGTGTGTTCGTGTTCGTGTTCCTCTTGTGAGTCCCATGGGAACAGCAGTGTGTGCCAAGGCTTGTGTCATAAGAAACACACACGCACACAAAAAGACGGAGATCAAACAGCCGCCCATTGAAAATCACACTCTCATGCTCCTTATCTCCCACCTCCACAAACCATTGTCCTGCATATGTCTTTATCAGAGACAGCGAAGCCGTCTCGTTTCCCATGATGCTCAGCTCTTTGCACAAGAGCCATGGAGGTGTTTCGATAATTAGTCCTGGAGCATGGGTTTGTGGGTAAAGCTGTGAACCCGGGGACTTACTAATTGATTTGGGACATATGTGTGTGTGTGTTTGGTTTTCATTTAGAGGAGAGTGTGTGTGTGTGTGTGTGTGTGTGTGTGTGTGTGTGTGTGTGTGTGGACTGCATGAAGCAATTATCTCCCCTTCTAGATTTATATTTCCTGTTGCATAATAAGAAGCCATTGTAATGTGCAGGTTGTTTTTAGATTGTACGTGACAGGTGTACTTACTGCATACAAAGTCATGTGAAGTGCTTTCATGTTACTGGAACAATGAAATTGTCCTCTTTCAGCCACGTTTCTGGGCCCTGGAAGTTACTCCTTCCCCGTCACAAAGGCTCAGGGTAGTTCTCATTTGTCTCGGGGTCTGTTGACAGTGTGTGGATCTCTCTGTACTCTGTATTGGATTAGCTGTAAATGTTGTGTCTACGTAGTTACCCTTCAAAATTAAAGTCTTTACAAAGCGGTCTGAAAATCAAATATAAAACACAACATTTGGTAGAAGCTCATCTGTTTGTAATCAAGGTGTCACAAGAGCTTTGAGGTGAAATGCATCGAGAAGTCAAACTGGAACAACTGCATCAGTGTAGGGGAGCATGACTGCAACACAATAAATACAGATCCCAGAGGTGCTTTTATTGTAGTTTACGAAAGAAAAGCAACAATTTATGGCAATGCCGATAAACATAAAGTCAAACCTACAGTGTAATGGCTTCAACAAACTCATCTGCTGCTTCAGGTGCTTTTACTTCATATTTGACTTGAAAGGCGTTAAACACTTCAATAGTCAATAGTTTTGCTTTTAACGGACATACATTTTAATACATTTACAGAAAGTAGAGTTTTTAGTGATACAAAGTTCTAAAACATGAAGACAGAGATATAGAAACATCCTTATGATGGTGATATTTCTTTATTTTTTATTTTTTTCATTTGCAGTAAATTCAGTTGTGTAATTGTTTGTGTTTTGAGTCGGGCACTGAGTTAGGCAGCGTATCGAGGCCTCTGCACAGTGAGCAGAGTTTAAATAAACTGTAGAGTCGGCTGTAAAAAAAAAAAAACACTTTTCACTGCTGCTCAAAATTGATGAGGAGACCAGACAAAGCCAAACCTATAAATCAATGAGAGAATTACTGCATGCCTGTATGTGTGATGAGGGGGATGCGGATAGAAAGACAGGTGCAGTGGTTTTAGAGGGGGTTTATTTTGAGTGAATGGAAGGAAGGAAGGGTAGATAGGGAGGGAGGGGGGGGTGCAAAGGCGTTGATGGCGGTGGGTCTTATGCTCTGTCATTAGTTGGGCATTAACCCCCTCCCCTTTAAACCCCCTTAGTAATGACAGGGCATAAGAAGCAGAGGGGGTGGAGGGCTCCTGGAGAATACGGGCAGATTGAGAGGGTTAGACCACAGCACCTGCCCAGGGTCACTACCTCACCCCAGGGGGTCCTAACGACTGCCGTTTTGCCTGTCCACTGCTCTGCCCGTCTGACAAGTACTCGCAGAGCATAACCCCGACACACAGCAGCTGAAGATACATTTGAATGTAAAGAGAGAGAGAGAGAGGGAGCAGGGTGGGATGTGAAGTCAGATGTAAACCTCAGTTCTTCTGCCTCCGCCTTTCTCCATGCGGTTGTTTTTATTTTTTACAACCCCTCTCTTTCTCCCTCCGACAACTTGTCTCGCCCGTTCTGTTGTGCAGAATTAGAGCGACTAAACGGAGGCAACAATTTTCAGCAAAAAATGTCCTCGTTACCAGAAAGCTGTTTTTTTAAAGTGTCTCAAGGCAACAAAAGTTTTTATTTTCTTGGTCAATTTTTAACACTTTTTTACCAACAAAATAAATGGCAGCACGAGCACTTTTTTATATATATATAAATAAGTAATCATGCAGGGTAGTTAAGGCTGCTGAATGTTTTTTTCTGATGAGATGTTTTCATCAGGGATCCCTTTATACACGAGAACGCTAAGTCATTTCAAAGGACTGTTGCAGTTGTGGAAACTCAGGGAGTTTGATCACGGTTCTAAAAATGATGGAAAGGGAATTGACAAATGGCTTATTTCGTGTGTGTGTGTGTGTGTGTGTGTGTGTGTGTGCGCGGTGAGTGTAAAAAATGACTTTAGTGCCTGATATTTGGTTTAGTTTCTTCTTCAGAGCCAAAACTTCAGGAACCAGATTAACAACTAAAGGGCATGTTATAGGTTTAGGAAAGAGAAAGAGATTATTTTGGGGGAAAGATCAAAAGTTTAGAGATGCAAATAAACATTTAATCTTTGGGATTAATCATTTAGTGTATGAAATGGTCAAACATTGTGAAAAAATGTCCCATAGCCCGAGTTAACACCTTCAAAATGTATTGTTTTATTCATACCCACAAATACTGGGGTTCACTGGAGAATGTTTGCAGGCTTTGCTTCGAATACAACCTGAACTCCACTAAAGTTTTCACAGTTGTTGGAGGTCATGTGTGTGCTGCGTCTCTTTATAGGGCTGGCTGGTGTGTGAAGACCAGGCCTGCCAGAACAGGACCAGACGTTTGCCCATCGCCTTCTCCCGCTACGGACCCATCTGCCCCGCCTGCACCAGGGCGACCCTCAGACCCGAGGTAAGGCAAACGTCAGAATTCACACTTCAACACACACGGCTTTTCATTTTTCTCAGAATGAAGAGAACAAACGCGCGCGGTGGGCCTGAGGTTTGAGGTGAATGTACACACCAGAACACAATGTTGATTTCTGTATGTTTTGTCCAGGGGATGGTGCTATGGAGCTGAGGTCTCTCCCCACACATGTTCTGCACGTTCTTACTCATTAGTATCACATTTCAACACAGACGTGCACACACACAGCGATAAGAATGATCTTCCATTTGTCCTGCTGCTGCTGTGTTTGTGTGTCCGTAGCTCTCGTAGCCGCCTTATGAACACTTTGTTAGCTTGACCACTGGATTTAAAAGACACGCTCTCCCTTTCAATTTGAGCGTGATGGTTCAGTCAAATTTTTTTTTTCTTTCGTCCTTCTCTGACCCATTCTCACCGGTCCTGTCTCAACCCTCGCCTTTAACTCTCTCTTGTCAAGTTTTTTTTTTTTTTTTTTTTTTTTTTTTCCATCTAGCGCGCTCTGCCGCTATCTGGCTGCTTTGCTGTGTCTGGCTCTGTGGCGACAGGTTGTAAACCAAAAGGCCAATTTCTGCTGTCACTGTAGCCACTTAGGCGGCCATTGCTGTGCCTGAGGGCCGTGGCACTTTAAACTGCGGCCTGAATAAAACATTTAACTCTCTGTGTGCTCACTCGTGCACCCTTTCTCTACCCCTAAATCCCGTAACCCTCTCTTCATCTTACCTGCTCCTCAAAACACGGTTTGATCTCTGCACTCGGGGCATGTTGATGATCTACAGCAACGTTTAGTGTTGGCCAATCCATTCAAATTCACTGTCCATTTATAAACCTTAAACTTAACTAAAACGAGCCCGTGAAATAGATTCCTTGTGTTTTAGGTTCTCATTGGACTGAAGGCTCTCTGTCGTCGACAGTAGGCTGATCTGGTCTTGTTAGCATCATGCTACAGCCTGCTGACTGCTACACAAACTGTTGTGTGAGGTGGGAATAAACAAACAGGTGTTGCCGTTAAAGAGCGCGGCGTGAAAATCGGTTTGCAAAAATAGAACGCCTAATGTTAAGCACCGACATAAATCATGTTGGCCACTCAGAAGGCTCTTCTTCTGTGGTGTCCTGATTGACCCCCTTTCGTTCTCGTTCTCCACCAGAGCCGACTAAAAATACTACGTTCATGTTCAACTTGACGACCAGATTTTTCTTCTTCTATCTTGTGTTGTTTACCAGCTGGTCTGAATAATGATAATTCGCTTACATATTTATTTTATCGGATGGTATTTCAGATAGTATGTGGTTGGAAATGAGCATAATTTAAATGCCTTTGAATGTTTAATGAATTATAAACTTTTTTTGGGGTATTGTTTCCACATTAACTGTTTTGAAATGTATCTACTCAATAATTAACAACTGCCCTTGTCTTTAATATTTATACTGGCGCTCTTTAAATACCTCGGTAACACAAAGCCCCCCCCCCCCCCCCCCCCCCCCCCTGCTCTTTAGCAAGACATTTCAACCCTAATACGTGTTGCTCACCCTTATATCTGACCTCTCTGAGGAGAGACATTTTTCCCTTCATATTAGGCTAACGCTGACTTCTCAGTATTAGGTAACAGTGTTTCGAAATCAAGCCAGTGCCTGGAGATTAATAGCCCAGCGGCTTACAAATTAAATTGCTGCCAATTATGCAAAGTACTCGAGGGGCCATTCATGGCTGTTTGAGCTGCTGGTGGATAGTCTGCGCTCAAACAACGAGGCAAGATATGAGGCACCCACCGTTCCCCCACCAGAGAGCTCTTTTTTTTTTTAATGTTGTCGGAAGCTCTTGTCATATTTCTGTGCATTCAGCTGCATCGAGCTAATATCGGCGCCAGCTAGAAAGATGCACGGTTTCTTCTTTTGTTTGTGCCGGGGCTTTTGTAAACGAGCGTCTTGTTTGTGACTCTGCGTGTTCCCTTGTCTCTGTTGCATCATGGTACATTTACCATCGCTGTGGGTGCTGCCTCTCCTCTCCTCTCCTCTCCTCCCTCCGTCCGTCTCTCTCACTCTGGTTCTCCCTCCCTCCCTCTCTGGACACAGATTCAGAGCGTGATCTGATCTCCATGTAATGGGAGAGTAATAGGCACTCTGCCTTGATTGGTTGGTAATTTGGGGGAGTTATGCACAGGTGCAATTTGTAATATTTTCAGTAAATTAAATTTCTTTCTCTTCCTCTCTCTCTCGCTCTTCATCTCTCCCTCCCTCCACAACGCTTAACTCAAATAGGCTATTTTTTTCTCACTGTGTCTGAAATCTTTGTCCTGACTTTCCTTTTCTTTCCCCCCTTTTATTCGATGCTTTCTTCCCCATGCTCCTTTTCTTTTCATTCTCTCTCCCTCCCCTCTTTAGCTCTTACACTCATTCTCTCTTTAGCTTGCTCTTTCTCTCCTCCTCTCACCCTCCCTTTTTCTGTCGCTCTCTCTCTTTCTCCCCTCGTTTTATTGATGTACGCTCAGGCGCCCATTAGAGCTCCCTTTTTCCCTCTAGTGGAAATTGCAGCATGTTAATTTTCACACAAATTACGGCAATAGCAGGTATCTCTATTTGATACATTATAGCGGGAGCAATCAGAGATAATTGAGTGCCTTTCAGAGGGAGACGGCTGCATTCACTGCCGGCTCAAAGCTGCCCCATTATCGCCTAATCGCTCTTTAAACACTGAATTTTGCCGAACAAAAATTCTTGTCATAATTTTGCTTAAGTGTATTTGGAAATCACAGTCCTTTGAGCGAGGATAATTGAAATCAAATCCCTTTCACTGGAGCTGACATTTCTACATTTCCCTCCAATTGAAATTAATTTCAAAAATTGAGCATGAATATCTTCAAATAGCAGGCAATTATGCCTTTCAATGGGGAGAAATTACCGGTGCTGAATCGTTGGAGGCTTGCGGGCGAGAGCACCAGTTAAATGCCTTTGTTTCCCGCCGTGTTTGCCTAGTAAAGATTTACATATATTGACTCATTATGGTGTCTTGTGAAGCTGATCGGCGTGACTACCACAACCGGCAATAACGCTCATAGCATCTAAAAAGCTCAAGAGTTTTAAAGCCTTGTGGCCTCACAGCTGAGGGAAAATGCATGTTTGTCTCTCTCTCTCTCCCTCTCGCTGCAGCTGTGTATGGGCTTGGATATTGTAGCTTCAGCATTTACAGCGTGTGTGTTTGCAGCTAAGCTGGAGAAGAGAAAAAGTGTGAGACGCCGAGGCCTTGTTTGTGTCTCTGTTGCTGCGATATTTTCCTCTAAGCCACATCCATGTCACGGTATTTAACGGCTGTGGTTTTTCAGCAGCGTGCGCACGTTTCCGTCCAATAGTAACAGTTGTGGTTTTGTACCGTCGTCCCCCTCGTACACAAATATTGTCTGACTGCTTCCCTGGCGTACTTGAGCGATAGCATAAAGTGCAAAAGTTATTTTGGAAGTCGGGTGTGTGTGTTCATGTGTGGTCCCATAAAAGATGGAGAGCGCTGTTTTTAAGACTCTTCGGAAGTCTTGAGTGCTCGTTTCATTGTGTTCGCATTTTAGGCTGTTGCTCTGTGATTTGGATCAATTTGTGTGATTTCATTTTATTCTATACATCCTGTCTGCTTCTTCTCAAACACACACACATTTCCCTCTTCTTTTTGCTTTAACTGTGTAAGTGTGTGTGTACGTGCGCCCGGGATGTGTATGTGTTGGGGTGGGGGGGGGAGTCAAAGGAGCAAAGGGGTACGAGGTGGGGGCGGGGGGGGGGTCCTACGCTCCCGGGAGAGAGGCAATTTCACAGCTGGTTTGCTCCTTAGGCAGTCAGGCTGAAAATGCTGCAGATTTGTGGAGCAAATTGAAATGGTGTCAGTGCAGGAACAAAGCACCGAGCTGAATGACAAGGTAGGCGTGTGTGTGTGTGTGTGTGTGTGTGTGTGTGTGTGTGTGTGTGTGTGCGCGCTGCAGTGTGTGTGTGAGAGAGAGAGAGCGAGGTGGGGTTGAGGGGCTCTAAATTCAATAACAACCCTCTAACATTTTAGACACGCCTTTCTGACACCTGTCAGTCAATCAGTGTGCAGCGACTGGCCCGCCCACAATCAGCATTACTGTGTGTGTGTGTGTGTGTGTGTGTGTGTGTGTGTGTGTGTGTGTGT